CGCTCTCATAACATAAAGTCATGTGTTTGTCTATGCGTCCAAATGAATGTAAAGTGGAATAGAATCCCCATAAAATTCATCCCAATCGACATCCCTATTTATATGTATGTGTTGTCATAACAATATAAGAGTTTAATCAATTTTTTAGGAACTTATTTTGGTATAACCTTTAAACTTTCAATTAAAATATTATATATTTGGATGAATCTATGATAAGTGATATTCTTTGAAATGCACTACTAGTGACATGCATTGAAATGCATCACTAATATAAAATAGGGTAGAATTAATAAATAATCACAAAAAAAATTAAATTGACTTTATTTATCATTGAATTCTTAAAAGTCACAAAATAGACATTAAACTTTAAATTTTGTTAAAAAAATAAATAACAAATGTTAGATGTTATTAAGGGGTGAATAACATACTAAATTAATGAAAAATATCTTATTTAGATCCTCAATTATAACTAAAATTGCACTTTAATATTTTTCAACATTTTAAGTAGTAGTTCTAAAAAATTAGAAATTTTAGAATTTTTAAAAAATATATATTAATTATTTTTAAAATTAAAAAAATATTTTTAAATCCAACAATGGAATTGATTTTTTATTAAGCAAAAATTATTTTATAAGTAATTATGTATTTAATTGTTGTTTTATTTTTAAAATAAAAAATTATAATTTTCGACGCCAGAAAAATTATATTATCAAATAATAAAATTATAATTTTTATTAATGATGTGATTTAATCATTTAAATTTTATTTAAAAAATTTAAATTTAAATTTAAAAATCATACATCCATAATTTTATAATATCATATCAAATAATTTTTAATTTAAAGGGTACATATTTAATTTTTATAATATAAAGGATGACATTTATTTTATCTATATCTATTTTATTTTCAATTCAATGAACCTAATACGAATTATTTTAATTAAAATTTTGTTATAATTGAAGGGTGAAATTAAGTACTCCCTCGAGTTCACGACATGGCTGAGTAGGAATGAGTCAAACATTTTCTTGAGATGTAAATTCCATTTTAACATCATTGGCCATGCATAAACTAATTACTTAGTGTTAGGGTTAGCGTTCAGTTAATTAAAGATTAATAACAACAAATGTACACGTATAGTAAAAATAAAAAAAAGAGTCGGTAACAAGTTGAAGCGAATAAAGGTAGCTAGCTAGATTCCTCACAAGTTATTGGTACATAAAAACAAAAGAACCGTAACTTTCATCAAACCTCGACGACTATATATTAATATATATATCATACGTTAAAATTAGAAGTTATTTTGATTGGTGTCCATAAAAAAGAAGGCAATTTAGGAGTCCTAAAATCAATTGGAGAGATGGGTTTCAGCCCTAGTATGTTTCATCCACCATCTCCAAATCAATAATCTTATTCAATATTAGCCAATTAATGCAGAGAAAGGGGAAATAAAAAAAATGAGAGAGTCACGAGTAAAGGGAAAATAAGGCTTCAGGGGTAAATCTGGACAAAATAAAATAGACAAATAAAAGCCACTTTCAAAAGAGTGGTAAAGAAGAATTTTAAAAGTGATTTTTTAAAAGTACAATTTAAAATTTAAATGTTTGAGATTGATGTTAAAAAATATTTTATAAAGATAAAATGTTTATTTTAGATATTATGTTTATTTCATCTCTAATATTATGTTGTAAGCCACTGGGATGGTGAACATGCATGGGTTACACACTGCTTTAAGGGCAAGTCTCTCATTACGAGAGTGTTTAAACTCGCTTTGACGAGTTACGTGTTTGGCATCTGGAAAGAGAGAAACAACAATTGTTTGGGGGAAGGCTATTGATGAAGAAATTCTGGAGAGATGCTATTAGAGATGGCTATATTGTGAGATTGTGTACGTGATTGTGTACTCTATGCTTTGTTGTTTCTTTTGTAAACATGTTGTATTTGCAGACTCTTTGCTTTATTGTGTGTGTGTGGGGGGGGATTAGTTTGTTGTTAGCAGATGGCTTTATAGCTTAGCAGGTATTTGATGTTTTATGTAAGGAATTGGTTTTCTTGTAGCATGTTTCTTCTTTCTTGAGTAATGAAATTAGAGTATAAAAAAAACTATAATATTTAAATTTGCGCTTATGATTATTATGATGTACTAAATATATCAACTTAAATTATAATAAAAATATAAAAAATATTTTAAAATAATTCATTTATAATAATTTTACATATGAAATATTTTATTAGGAAATTATATTATTAATATTTTTTAACATTTGAATTTTAAAATATTATTTTTAATTTTTTTAAATTTAATCATAATCACTCATTTAAAATTAAAATAATCTGTTTATCACTTTTAAACGTTAAAAAATAAATAAGATATATATTATAAATAAATTTAAAAGAAATTATTATTATATATTAAATGCATCAATTTAAGTTATAATAAAAATATAAAAAATATAAATGAAAAATTATAATTATAATGAAAATATATTTTATAACAACCCACTATTAATACTTTAATATATAAATCATAAATTTTATTTATTAATTTTTTTGGTACAAAAGAAGTTTAAGTAACGAGTAACTCCCCCAGTCCATGGTCATAGTATACCTAAGACCTAATTGGGATTTACATAGGATTTTGCAAATTGCCCACCAAAAGTAACGGTGGTAGGATTCGAACTTGGTCTTACAAGCTCATATTCCTGAATTCTAACTACTTGTACCAATACTCGATTTCATTTATTGTATTTTTTTATTTTTAAGTAATAAAAATAAATTAATAAGTAGTAAATTATTTTTTAAGGAAATTAATATTACATTATTGAAATAAATCATAGCTACATAATTAATAAGGAAAATTGAATTTTAAAGTTACTTTTCAAAGCAAAGAAGTGGGACTCATACATTATACCGAGGGTAAAAATATAAATTTCCTTTCAAAGACATGGTCGAGCATGAAAAAGCTAAAATCATAACTTACTGTTGGTTTAAAACGATGGTTTCTACTATATTTTTCTTTAATTTTACCAATTTAATTTTAAATTTGAGGTAAAAACAGACATTTTAACTGAAAGTAATTTTACACACTAAGATATATGTTAACAAATTGATTTTAGATTATATAGATTATGGGTCAACTTGGATAAAATGAAATAGATTGGATGATTTTGGCCCGAGGATCTTTTTTAGTAGAAATTACAAATGATCAAATCAATTAGAGAATTTAACCTATAGTTTTATTTTCTGGTGAAAAGAAAATGTGACTTTCGAGTCAAATAAATGAAATGATTGCACGGAGAATTTGGAGAAGAATACGAGGCATTCACGGAAATTTATTTATTTAAAGAAATATAAAAAAAAACCCGCACGAGAACAGGTGAGATAAATATTATATAGTCACCGAATCAATTTCGAAATATTTTAATTAATATGACAGGAAAATTCATCACCTTCGGATTCGTTAAACGTCACAGATGTTGATCGATTACTTTGTCTGTGACTGTTAAAGAAACTGACAAAGGTCGGATTTAAAAACAGAAAAAAATCAATCTTAAAATACAGAAACGGTCAGAAAAAGTACCAGCGGATTTTCGGGTGCAAGGACGAGTAAGAAAAAGCTGTCGAAATGCCACGTGGAAAAATGTGGAACGTTGATGGTATATGGAAGAAATCCAAAAAGACCATTTTGTTAGATTAGATTGGTTGGAACTGTAAGAGAACTGTAGAGAACTGCCCGCAGACACACTTTCTTACATCTTTGTCTCTCTTTACATTACTCAAGAAAAGCTGATCATCTATTACAATTATAAGGGTGAATTATATAGTTACTTAAAAAAATTTACTCTTATATTTTATTTATCGTATTTTTTAATTTTTTTTATTTTATTTACTCTGACTTTAACTCTTTAACGATTTAATGATGTGTCATTTTTTTTATTTTATTTAATATAAAATAATTGAAAATATAAAGGGTAAAAATTGTACCGTTCCTCGTTGCACTTTATTCTCTCTCATATTTTGTTCACTTAATTATAAAATAAAAATAGAAGGTGGTCGGATGCCACTGTCGGCCACTGCTGATTGCCGTAGATGGTGACCGTTCCATCTCAAATTTCTTGGATTGCTTCGCCTTGACACATTGAGTTCGAACTTGACCTCCATTTTGTCAGAACGTGCTCCAAAGTCCCCGAATCAGATATTGAAAGCGAGAAAGTCGAAATGTTTCAGTTGAGATTCATGGGTTTTGCAACATTTTTCGACGAAACAACTACCAGATTCAGACTCAAGGGTCCAGAAGAAACGATCCATGAATTTTGGGATCGAATGATCGCCATCAAAGACGGTCGACGATGGTCGAAATGCAAAATAATATGGTTGTCGATGGCGACAATGGGGAGAAATAAGAGAATTTGAAACGACGTTATTTTGGTATATATTTGATTTTTACAACACGACGTTGTTTTGATGCTTGTGTCATGTCATAACACCGTTAAAAATGTAACGGCATAGTAAGCAAAATGATTAAATCTTGAAGTTCAATGAGCAAAAAAAAAATAAATTAAAAGTACGATAAGTAAAATAAGAGAGCGAGTAAAGTTCAGTGAGGAATGATATAATTTACCCTAATTATAAAATGTATTTTTTCTAATCAAATTGAACATATAATTTTATTATAAATTTTATTTTGTTTTATTAAATTGATTTTATCTTTTCTTTTGTATATTTAAACAGATAAATTAATCTACATAATGTTTCACCTAACCTTGTCATCTAACTATAACAAAAGAATCGATTTTATCATAAAATAATATTAAAATAAATAAATAAAATTAGTTATTCGTTATATATTTCAAATTAAACTAAATTATCTAATTATTTAATCTGAAATCTAAAAAGAATAATATATTTTGGTGATTTTGAACCAATTTTGCCCCCATGTAATCATATAACCATTTCGTTTTTTTGTTGTTGTTAGAATTTAGATAGAGAGAGAAAGAGAGCTGGTTTTGTAATAAATGAGGTGAGGGTGTTGCAGTTCTCATGGCGGCGTTGCAGGGCCCTTAATTCCGTGCATTGTTGCTTGGGATTGAACGGGGGAGAGAGAGAAATGGGAGCTAATAAGTTAATAGAAACCATATTTGTTTTACCATAGAACAATTCTTAATCTTTCAGCATTTTAACCCTAAAAAGCTGGAAGAAGAAAAAACACTCAAAAAGATCAGAGAATTGAACAACAACAACAACAGCTCTTCTGCTCAAATACTGTAGTAGTTGGGTTTAGGGTTTCCTGGGATGGTTAGAGTGAAGAACAGAACCAAAAAACAAAACCCAACAAATACTCACAGGCTAACAGTGGTCTTTAAAAACCTACCAGAAAAAGGTTTTACAGTTGAAACGCATAAAGAAGGCAACCAGCTCATTAACTAGTGATCTCGGGCTGTGGGGCGCGGCAAATATGGGGTACTAAATAGGGCAAATTCTGCTATGGAATTTTGGTTCAATTTGAGGTTTGTTTCAGCTTTTGGGTGCAACAAATGGCTGGCTTTTTCTATCTAGGTGGACGAGAAGCAGCAGACACCGGAAATAAACAAGGAGAAGAAGATAAAGACGAGAGTCTGTATTTGTATAAGAACGAAGAGATCTACAGCAAGGGTTTCGAGATATGGCCGCAGCAGTATTATTACCAAGAGCAGCAGCAGCAGCCGAACGTGACCAACATCACTTTTGGAGCGGGTCCTAGTCGAGTACGAGCTAGTGGGTTTATCTTGTCCGACGAGACGCCTTCGAGATCAGTAGGGTTTACTGTTATGAAAAATGGAGGGATGAATTGCCAAGATTGTGGAAACCAAGCTAAGAAAGATTGTCCGTATTTGAGATGTAGGACTTGTTGTAAGAGTAGAGGGTTTCAGTGCCAAACGCACGTTAAGAGCACTTGGGTTCCCGCTGCTAAAAGGCGAGAAAGACAACAGCAGCTCGCGGCTTTGCAACAAACGCAACAGCGTGATAACATTGAACAATTCCGTGGAGAGAATCCGAAAAGGCTGAGAGAGAATCGTGGTTCTCCCTGCACTCGTATATCCCCAACTTCATCAGGTAAAGTTCGATCGACATATAAACAAAGACGCACGTTCAGTTTGGTAGGATTTTAAGGATGTCCCATAATTTCCAGCAGTTTTAGCACCGAACAAGATCGTATCACTTGCGTTTGAACGAGTTTCAGTGTTTCACCATTACGTTCACCGAGCTACCTGCTTCCCCTTTTTTCCATTAATTCTGCCACTTTTTTCCATAATAGTCGGGGCCAAATTCAAATAAAACCTTTTTTTTTATTATTTTCTTTCTTTTAGATCTTGATTTCTTTTTCTTAATATATTACGTTTTTGGAAATTTGAATTAGGGTTGGAACTGGGTCAATTGCCTCAAGAAGTGAGTTCACCAGCAGTGTTCCGCTGTGTGAAAGTAAGTGCGGTGGACGAAGAAGAAGAGGAGTTAGCTTATCAAACGGCTGTGAATATCGGAGGGCATGTGTTCAAAGGAATCCTCTACGATCAAGGCCCTGAAACTCATTACACCAGTGGCGGCGAAACCTCTCACTCTCAGCAACTCAATCTCATTACCACGGCGGCAACAACCGCGGAAACTGCTGGAACGACAATAACAACAGCCGCCGCCTCTTCGAGGCGTCCGATAACAAGTATGCTCGACCCATCTCTTTTTCCACCTCCACTCAACGCTTTCATTGCTGGTACGCCATTCTTCCCACCTCCAAGGTCATGATTTACAGGCCTAGCTAGGGCTAGCTATCTCCAATTTCAAGAGAAACTTCCATTGTTGATCTCTAGCTTTCAGTGTTTCTTTTCGTCATTGTTAAAGCATAGAATTTGAATGACAGATGCTGCATATGGTACTGGTTTGGGGATGTTTATTTTTTTCGAATTTCAATTCAGATTTTCAGTGTTTGTTCTTCAGTACGTGGATGTGCGCCCCTTTCTGTACGAATTATTCTCTTTTTTTATTATAATTTGTGCTATTGATGGATCTTGAATCTGCTTTCTGATTAGTGTTGAACTCGAAGCCTACTTTTCCCCATTTATCCGTTTTCTTGCCGGATCAAAATGGGGCGAGAAAACTCGGTTTCGTGTTCGGCTCAACAAAGAACACTTTTTTAAAAAACCATTTTTAATGCATTAATCGGCAAATAGAAGACCACTCCATTGAAAATCTCTCTTTGGTTCCTTTTGTGATAGAATGTACGTATTTTGTACGCAGATTTACAATCTTTTTATACGTGAATACATAAATTCATCGGTTTGGGCGCATTAAAATCGCAGCTGAAAAGGAAAATGAGACACTTGAATAGACGTGCATGGACGTGATGTGATCCTTTGGTAAAATATGGAAACCGTTGCCCATTTGCCGATGATTTTTAATGCATCTCTGCATATATGTGCATGTGATTTATGTTATTTATAGTGCGAGACTAGTTATTTCTAGAGAGATGCTTCTGTTTGCAGGCTTCTAACATTATCACCATGGGGGAAGAAAAACAGAAAGATTATGAAACTTGCCAAAGTTTTTGTTATTAATTCCCGACTTAGAACATGGGGCTCTGATCATCTTCAATCATGAACATTGTTGCACCCTTAAGGCCCTTAAGTCCTTAACTGATGAAACTCTTCTTGATTTTTCCATAGCTTTTAGGTTTATTATCATTTGGAGTAATGAAACTATTTTGGGATGAAGTTGACAAACTGGAAGTTTTGGATTAGGGATCTCGAGATTGAATGCTTCTTCGTCTTCATCATCTTCACATGGGTGATGCTTAACATTAATGGCTTAATGGGTTATGGTGCCACACCCACTTTAACTTGAGAAAGACGAAATATTCAATTATTTTATGCATTTGGTTTTATTGATCCCAATGCCATTTTCCAACCTTAAAAAGCTGCCCAAAACTTAATTGATTACACATCCTATTATTTATTTCTCTGTCGTTTTGGACATTTGCGTTCCTTCATACTTCACATATGCTCCTTTCTTCCACGTCCTTTCCTCATTGTACGTTTTTTTAAATTATATTTATTGTCAGAATATAATTTATTTGGAAAATAAGAATAATTCATAATTATTTTATAAAGTTTTCAAACCTATTATACTGATAAAAGGCAACATAAAAACACATTAAGTTATATTAGGGTTTTGTTATTGTCTGCTATTTTATTTACGTGCTCATTAATTATCCTGTGATGCCAATATATTTCAGTTTGAATTCCGTAAATATACAAGTGCAAGGCTGAACTGAATTACTCTAATAATTAACGAATATTTTATTAAAGGCTGGAATCTACTTGTACATTTTTAAAATTTGAAAAAAAAAATTACGTATAGAATCATTGATATAGTGTAATTTAATTAACTGAAATTATCTACTATTAAAGGCATGCGTCCCTAAACTTTTAAAGAAAAAACTTATGTGGTCATGATCTAATTTTTTCTCTCAATATTGTCCTCGAACTTGAAAAAATAATTCAATGTGATTATTTGACCAACGTTTTCCGTCGTTGACCAATGACACTGTTAATTATTGCTAACATGACACGTCAAGCACGTCATCTCCCACTGTTTAATGATATTATAAATGGGTAAATTACACCATTCATCACTTAGTTATATTTTCTCTCATTTTTATTACTAAACTTTATAAGTTTTTAATTTAATCACTCAATTTTTGAATCGATCCTTTTTTTATATAATTTGAATTGCTCCTATTTTGAATTGCCTGACTTCCTTCGCCTTTTTTCATAGCCAACGCCATTCGTCCCCCCGAATATCTAGGATTTCACTCTCACCCTTTCTGTAATTTCACCATTTCCCAACTCCTTTCGTTTTCCCTTCAATATTCTCTTTCCCTCAACACTCCAAACGCATTTTGCATTTCGATTCGAATTCAAATTCCGCCACCGCCGTCCACCACTCTTAGCCACCGGACTCATTTCAACTTATGCTATCAGAATCTATACATAAGTTTTTCACCCAACACCATAGCAGTTCGACTTATTTTTCCAATTTCACCTCCATTTTCTCTCGCTTGTTGCAGAATCTACCAATCCGCCGTTTGAATTCGTTTGATTTTACTCTGCCGTAAATTTCGATTCCACTAATAAATTTAACTCCCCGACTTCAATCTCCAGTTCCAAAGACCTTTTCCAGCTTTTAGTTTCCTGCTTCACTTCATGCGATGGCATTAACAGAATCTTCCTCACGTTATTTACCTGCTTTACCATTTTCTTTTCGACCAAAAAGAGTTTAAAATGGAAGCGAAGAGTTTGTTAGAAGGGATTGTGAGTTACATTAGCATATGCTGCAGTATGGAAGATGATGGCAACGACAATTTGAGTTGCGTTTTGGTGATTTGTTGCGTGTTTGGATGGTAGATAGAGTTGGGAAGGAAGGTGAGAAGAGAGAGAACATTATTAATATTATTTTAATCATATATTAATAAAATAGTAATAATAAATGCCACATCATACATAAATATTAATAAAATAAGCAATGGTGATTAAAATAGGAACAGTTCAAAAGTTGAGTGATTAAATTAATAATTTTTAAAGTTTAGTGACCAAAATAAGATAAAAGATAACTGAGTGATGAATGGTGTAATTTACCCATTTATAAAAGCATTAAATAGAGAGATGCTGATGTTATTGGTCAACGACGGAAAATATTGATCAAATTATCACATTAAGTTTATTTTTTCGTATTCAAAAATCACATCGAGAGAAAAAATAAGATAAAAGCTCCATTGTTTTTTTAAGTTCAAAAACCTCGAATGCCTTTTTGGCTTATAAAAATAAATTTACAATTTTCTCTATTGTTTAAGGAATTTTAGTCTAAAAGTATAGAATCAAAATACAATTTGTGCTGTGATGCAAGGATCTCTACAGTAATTTTAACTATTAAAAAGCTTAAAATAAGAGGAGGCGAATTGACTAACGTCTGACCTTTTATAAGCCACCGTTTGTTTTTAATGGTGCATTTGATTTCTTAAAAAAATTATTATTAACAATAATAATTTTCTTTTCGAAATAATATATTTTTTATGACTTGTTTTTGTATTTATTGAAATAAAAAAGTAGGTTTAATGTCAAAATAAATGTCTAAACTACACATTTTTTTGTTAGACAAGTATCATAACCGGTTTTCGCCCGGACACGAAATTTTACTTGGCAGGAAAAATAATGTGGATAAAAAAATGATTTTGATTTAAAAAATGTTTTGGGAGTCGCCATCGGCCTTTTGGGTCAAGTAGGTCAAACACTTAAAAATTATTTTTTAAAAGAGGTTTTAGAAAAACATCATTTAAAAGATAAACTGATATGCGTTTATAACCAAAAATTTATTCTTTTTATTAATAAAAAGGGATTCGTGGTCGGTTACATTTAGGGAAAGATTAGCACCCCTATAATGCCCAAAATTGGTACTTATTAATTATAAATTGTCTCTATCAAAAATTCAAATATATTTAATTCATAATTTTGTTAAGTTTATTAACAAGATATTTATTTATTTAGAAATATCAGAAAATGACTTTTAGGTGCTTTAAGACAGCTCATTTCTTAATATTAAAAAATAAATAAATTTTAATAGAACATTTATCTAAAAATAATATAGATTTATATATTAAAATATTTATTTTTATTTAAAAATATCAGAAAATGGACATCCAGTTGTTTTAAGAATGTCCTTTCTTAATATTGATAATATATATTAAAATATGATTGAAATGATTTAATAATATATTAAATTTATAAATAGTATTTTCAAAAAATAAATGAATATTATATATATATATATATATATATATATATATATATATATATATATATATATTTATAAGACTAAATAAATATTATTTATATATATATTGACATAACTAATAAATAATAATAGTAATAGTAATGATAAATATATACAAACATAAATATATAAAAGTAACATATTATTAAACAATGTTTAAAATAAATAAAATTAAAACATAGTATTAAAATGTAAAGCTTGTAAAATAAATGAAAATATTAATCTTAGGGACTAAATTATAATCTAATAAAATTAAATACCTAATTTATAATTAATTATTTAAAACTACAGGGATTAGATATGCTATTTTACCAATTTATTAATTTAGGGACTAAAATAAAATTATATAAAACATCACTTATTAAATGTAAAATATTAAAATTTGCAGGCTTAATTCGAATTATTAAAAATATATGTATTAATAATGTAGTTTGACCTAATCAATTATTAGGGATGAAAATAAAAATAATTAAAATTACCAGGGACTAAATAAAGTATTTATCCTAAATATATAATTATACTGGAAATGACTAAATTATAATAAAATAAACTTACGAGACCAAATTAAAAGCTTAGAATTCAATTTCCAGTGACTAAAATGAAAAGTTACAAGGTTCAGATGGCTGCGGAAAGGGTTTGTTCATGCGTATAAATTACGCATATACCCCCACCCAAAACGACACTGTTTTGGATGGGGTATATAATCCCCAAATGGCTGGCCCGTAGGGCCAGCACTCTCATTTCTCATCTTCTTCTTCTCTCTCTAACTGAGAGAGAAGAAAACTCTCTCGCTTCTCTCTAGCTTCCCTCACCGGAGGGAAGCCGATTATCGGCCGGCAGCTGTCTGCCGCCGCCGTCCTCACCGCTGGCCACCATCTCCGGTGGCCGAAAAGTTTCATTTTACATGAAAATAAAGGCCTTCTCTTCCTATGGCCAAATCTAACTTTAGTTTACCCTAAAAAACTCCTAATCAGAGTAAATCTAAGAAAATACCTTTGGTATTTTCTGTTTTCCGGCGATGTTTGGCTTCCGGCGACGATCGAGGCTCCAAGGGTAAGTTTCCTTTCTTATCTTTTTTTTGGTTTCTTTGGTTGCTTCCTGTTCTTGCTTGTTCTCCCTCTT